TCACCAGAGACAAAGTGGGGAGCAGAACAGGCAGATCTACTGAAATACACTGCTGAGGGGAGCAGCAGGCAAGACAGGAGAGGTCTGTTAGGGATGGAACCCAGGCCACAGTGTCTGTTAGGGGGAAGGAGGTCCTGAAGGAACTCTACAGACACAGGTTGTGGACTCCACCCCTACTCCAGACTAAAGAGATTAAGATACCGGGAACTGCAAATCCCATCATCCCCCAAGGGAAAAACTGCTGGGACCTGAGGGTGGAGTCAAGCAGTCAAGTTTGGTATAAAACCAGACTTGTGGGCAATGGGGCTTTCCTGGCCTCTCTGCTTTTGGCTTGATTCAGTTTCACCAGCTCTCACCTGGATTTCAGCCCAGTGGAACTGGTAAGACACATTCATCAATTTATCTTCCCTTTTTATTCCTCCCTGAATTACTCATCTCTTCATTTCCCCCATAAATAAATTAACTTCTCCGTATGTGCCTGCAGGTGAGTCTTAATTATATTTCACTCTAAGTGCACAGGTGAGGACCCAGAGTCAGGCAAACCATTTCATTTGAGGGTTGCACTGTTAACAGTTGGTGATAGCTTGAGAGCGCTGACTTTATTTATCTCTTGTGCCACCAGGGAGGCCCTTAATCTCTGCTCCACTTTCTGAGTCCCAAAAGGCTAGTTATGTGGGGAGATTATTACCAGCACCTTTCTCCTTGGATTATATATCTGATCTAAAGTAATGCTGCTAAAGTAAAATTTTCCCTAAAACGCCTAAGAATCCACACATGTGACCCATGCCTGTCAGAAATAAGTGCCTAGAAGCGTGGGCACTGGCACAGCTATTTCATTACTCCACACCTCTCTGCCTCTGATTCTCGGAGTCCTGGTCCTTGGTGCTCTTTTTCCCTCATCAGCCCTGGGGCTGGGGCTTCCATTCCCGACTACTCGGCAGCCATTTGGGATTGATGAGGCTATGGGCCGACAAGCTGCTGTGACAGAGAGCTCACAGTAACTTAAGAGAGATTTCAAGATCTTGGTCACTCTGGCGCCCTCTGTACCAACCTCCACACAGAACTCTGGCTTGCAAGTTGTTCCAGCCGTTGCTATTTCCTGGTCCTCAAGAATGAAGGGCTGAGCGTGATTTTGTTTTCCTATGACAAGACCCTAGAAGGTCCCGACTCTAGCTGTGCTCAGCCCACGAACCAGGTACGACCGTGTGTCCCAGCCCCCTTCAGCAAGACTAATACACCAAGAGATCATTAAGGAGCCCATGTTCAGTCTTAGACCTTAAAGTGAAGGTGACTAGTTCACTGAAAGGCAAAACAAGGACTCACCGCAACACCAGGTTAATGCCCCTCGCTCTGAGGCTGAGAGCGGCGGCGGCTGGGGTAGCGCGCCCCCTGGCGGCCGAAACTCAGACCCCATAGTCTCGCTAGAAATTGGACCCAGTAAGGGGGACTCCGAGGCTTCCCCCCCACCACCACCCCGAAGGGCTCACGCACACACCACATAAACTAGGTGCGTACCACGGCCGCCTAATGCCAAACATCAAGAACACCATAAAGGTCCGTGAATAGGTGAATTCTTAAGTCCTGAAAGGTAGATGGCATGGAGCCCTAGCAGCTTCGTTGTGTATCAACTGGAAACAATTAGGGTAAAGGAGGGGTGAAGAGGAAGACGAATAAACACAAAGCACTTTTGACTTTTTATTACATTCCGGTATTGATATTTTACAATGTCTGCATTATTTTTAATTAAAAAAATAAAGTCCAGTATATTTGCACATACAAATTGCATAAATTAAGTTGCAACTCTGCATATAATACTTTACATAATGATGTGTTAGATGTACAGAGAAGTAAGTCTGGAAGGATGGCGGGACAGCCAAAGCCCCATCAGAGGGATCAGCAAGAACACCACCTCCCGGAATCAGGGTGATGGATTTTAAGCACTAGTGCCAAGCCCCAGAGTGTCATGAGAGCAAGTGCTGAGGCAGCACCAAGCCAGTGCCCCCACCCTTACCCTCCATCAGTCACCACAGCTGGTGGTAGGAGGTGCCACCTGCCCCAAACCTGCAGGTGAGAAAGGAGGCACGGAGAGGCTGAGTGACATGCTCCATGGGGAGTTGTGCCTGGCCCTGGGTCCCCTAGGGCTCCCAAGACTTGCCTTTGATCCCACATCTCAGCCTGAAAGTCAGCCTCAGATCTCAGGAGAAGGCCCTTCAGTTGGCAACCTGACCATGACCCCACGACCCTATGATGTCACATGACCTCAGGCCACAGAGACAGACATCCTTGGTGATTCCTCTGCCTGATGGTAGGGCTGGGGGTCATAAGCTGGCCGTTTTGAAAAGGGCTAATGCGACCAGATGCAATGGAGAAGAGTCAAATTAAAAGAAAATGAAATGGTGAAGACAGAGACTGGGGGAGGAGGAGGGAATGGAGCACTGCTGTTTAATGATTAGAGTGTCCTTTGGGTGATAAAGTTCTGGAGACCTCACACAATGTAAACATACACATGCCACTGAACTGGTTAAGACATTTTATGTTATATGTATCTGACCACAAATGAACATTTGTTAAATAAAAGTTCCATTTCATTTCCCAGGAGCATGTCACCTTCCTGGGAGATTTCCAGCTTGGAAACGTAACACCATAGAACAACTTACTCAAAATCTGACTGTAATTATATTGAATTAAAGGAGACTTGAGAGCCTCTCCATGAAGAAGTCATTGAGACAGAATTTCATTTTCACATTCAGATTTTTCTTCCTTTGGAATAAGCACGGCACTGAAAAGCGATGCACCAGAGTATTCCTTTACAGTATTTAAAGTCAAGATTCATTCATGGAACACTACAGGACAGTACTCTTCTTATCGAATAATAGAATACCACATAAAAATAAATGTAAAGCTTGTATATGCCCATGAAACAGATCACACGCACACACAGTCGGGTGTGACAGGTGCTCTGCACACAGCCTCACATGTCCCTGGCCTTGCTGCCACCAGGGCAGGCAGGGCACACACGGGCAGCCCCTGTCACCTTCCAGCTGGCCCCTCAGCACCTGGGGGTGAGGGGTCTCACAGGCTCATCAGACCATGGGAGGGAAGCTGGACTGGGAAAGTCACCTCCCGGTACCATGTGCTGAGTCCCTAGTTGTGGCCTTGCTGTGCTCTGTATCACGCACTGTTTTCAAAATTGGGATTCTTGAGATAGATGTCACTAGGCGAGAAGTTCAGAATCTCATCCAAGGAAGGGCTGTCATCGTCTGGAGTAATTTCAGACTCAAACATGCGCTGCAGCAAGGCGTCCACCGTCCTGTACTCTAGGAGAGAGGAGAAGAGGTGTGTGGACCTGCCTGTCCTGATGGGGCCCCCATGTGGGCAGAGATAGGTATTCCTGAGGGGTGGCCTCTGAACGTGGCAGCCAGACATGTGGAAGGAAAGATGAAAAAGCCAGGAAAGAGGTACTCATCTCTCTTCATGCTGATTGTCCAAGCTCCCCAACTACTGAAGACTTTGAAGACCTAGGAGAAGGTCCTACCTAAGGCTAGAGGAGGCTGGACAACTCAGAGGGGCTGCACGCTCTGCTCCTATGGTCTGTGTTGTATTTCTGAAAGTTTATCATAGGTCGCCCCAGCCAAAATGTAACAGAGACTAGGTTCGGTCTGCTCCACCAATTATTAATTCAGTGATACTTATTAAGATAACTAAACAGACAGTTGTTAAGGTCTCCCATGCCGAGGTATATTGTTAGATTCTAAGGATACAGCAGAGTAAAAAAAAAATGACTATACACAAGGCACTTCCTTTCCAGTCTTCAAAGAAAAGAGATGGTGACCGGTAGTCACTCAATGAATGTGCAGGTGGCATTCACGGAAAGGAAGGGGGCTGGCAGCCATACAGGAGAACCTGGCCTTCTTGTAGATGCCAGAGGGCTTTCTTGAAGAAGTGCTGCCTAAGTGGAGGAGACCTTAAGGGAGGGTTGCCCTTAATTACACAAGCAGGGATAGCATGAGTCAAGGAGCAAAAGCAGCATGTGCAAAGGCCCTGTGGCAGATAGGAAGAAACAGCAGAGCACGGACATGGTGATTATGGTGGGAAGGAAAGAGGCTCAGACAGAGAGAAACCAGGCATGAGGGTGTGAAGGCCATGTAGGGGGCCAGTTTCTTATCCTTGGCAATGGGAAGCCACTGTAGGTGAGTTCTGCATTCTGGAAACAACTCAGTGGCTACAGCAATGAGGTGGGCTTGGAGGGAGTTTTGTGTTTGGTTAAAACTTACTGTTTGAAGCAATTCTGAAGTACAGTCCTTTCAAGGACTTCCTTTTGTTGTCTCCGTCATCCCCACTAGAGCCAGTGTCCTTGGAGTTCATGTCATCAGTGAGCTTCTCATCCGGCACTTCTTCCCTTTGAGGAGGAAGAGGCAAGATAAACACAGTCACGGGGTACGCATGTTGTGTGCAGCCACACCCAGGGCTCCCAGGGCCTCGGAGGAGAAGCAGAGCGCAGGAAGCAGCCCACAAGCCCTGACCCCAGCACCGGCACTTAGAGATTAAACGGGATGGAGGCCCCAGTGTGACCTCCAGTTCAAAGTGTCTCTGAGCAATGTCCAGGGAAACGTGATCTACTCACTCTTGGATCCCCACACCAAGCTCCTGGATCTTCTTCTCAATAGCAGTCTCTATTTCACTTTTTTCTAATGAATATGCCACAAAAAACGCCTCCAAGATGAACGCTATGAAGATACTGAGAGAAGAAGAGGTAAGAATCAGGTTAAGCTAGTTGTGGCCTAAGTGACAGGAAGTCCAATGAGCATCCAGGCCCCAGAAGAAGGCAGCCTGTTGTCTCAAAGGGAATGCAGCAGCTAGGAGAAGTGACAGACAAGCCAAGCGTCTCTCAAGGATTAGATACAACTTTCAGTCTCTTGGAAAATCATTCTCGTTAAACAGTGAGTATTAAGAAGAAAATACAGTTCACTTGAGCTTAGGCTATATGCTTGTTGGAAGATGATTCTCCAAGGCTCGGTTTCTGCACAACCTGGCTTCTCTGAGAGAAGGGATTTGGAGTCAAGAATGTCTGTCTAGGTGACCTGCTGGGGCATGAGCTTACTGCTGCCTGCCTCCCAGCAGCCCAGGGCAGCAAAGGTAGAGCCCTCTCTGGGTCCGCCCTGAGATCTGCTTAACTCCCAGAGTAGAACAAAGTGTCTCTTCTCCCTCTGCAGAGGGGAGAATAGACAGGTCCCGGGAGTTTCCCTCCTGCAATGCCAGCCCCTCAACTGGCCCCCACCACACTGTTCAGGGGCACAGGAATAGACACCAGCACTGCTCCAGCTGCAGCCTTTACCTGGATCACAGTGCTCTCCGTCTCTGAGCCCAGGAGGCATGGTCAGAGGCATTTCTTCAGGGCCTATCTGGGGCTGTGTTTGTAGACTAAGGTGTGAGCTCACTGGAAGGGAAGACCCTCAGTCCCTTCACTGTCTCTGACTGACCAGGTGAAGATGGAGCCCAGTGCTATCAAACACCCACATGCTCTGAGGAGAAGAGGGGCAGAAACATCCCTGCAGCCTCTCATGTGCTACCTCGGCCTGCCCCACCTGTCCCAGGGCATGGCCACATGGCACCCGCAGGTTCTCATACAGGTACTCTGTGCAAGTCAAGAGAGACACGCAATCAGAACGCCCAGAGCTTCCTCTCCCCGTACCTCGACTGGACATTCTGGAGTCAAAATCAGCAGTGTAATGGGGTGGCCAAAACATATGGTAATGAAGCCACAGGGCTTCATTGTGGCACCCCACAATGCAGGCCCCCCACTCTGGGAGGGGTGTGACAACCAGAAAAACCCCTTGGGGAGTGATCAAGGGGAGTCAACTCAGGTCCTATGAGGCACCAGGGAGATAAAAATGGAGATCCCTAGGCTGGAAGGAGAGCTCTTTGTAGCAGTTAGATGTCAGAGCAGCTTCCAAGTAGGAATGGAGTTCTCCCAGGGAAGAGGGGTCAGGACGGAACTCAGGCCAGGGAAGAGAACTCACTAGGGGGCGGATCTCCCTCCCCATCATGGAAGGACATGAGAGCAGGTCAAGGGAGCTGACTCTGAGGCTCTGTGTCCTGGCAGGTGAACGGATTCAAGCGGAGGATGAAGGGATTATCAGGAGGCTGTTCTAAAAGGGATTCCTTCCTGGTAGGGAAGAGTCAGGGGAGTGACAGGACCCAGAGTCCTTCTGACCCAACAACTCTCAGGGGTGCATTATCCACTGATGGCAAGATGCTGGCAGACACGGATGCACCCCAATATGCACAGAGCCAGAGCCCTCCCTCCCAGCACCCTAGCACCTGGCAAGGAGATGTAACCTAGCTGCCTTGGGCACGAGGGGCCAGCAAGCTCTTACATGTTCTGAGAAAGATCTGGAATCGCCAAAGTGGGCAAGTGAACTCACTTGACAATGAGGATGACCACCACAATGTGGAACCCAATGAAGTATAGCTTCGCTGCCTGGTGCGTCACAAGGGCGAAGCCACCTGCCAAGAGTACAAAGCTAAGGAAGCACAACCTTCCAGGATGGGGCAATGGCCTGAACTCAGCACTGCTGAGGTGGACTCCTCCCCTGCTCCGGAGGCCACGTTCAGCAGCCCCCCGCCACACAGGGGGTGACAGCACCCTCAGAAAGGATATCATGCCACTGGTTGACCACGGTGAGCTCCAGCAGCACGATGAAGGAGGAAGCCAGGTCATTGAAGTTGTTCTTGCAGTACCTGTCTCGCGCGAATGCTGAGTCTTTTAAGGCTGGGTTTCCGCACACCAGGGCACCAGGAGCAGTGAAGTTTGGGTCCAAGAACTGGATTTTGCCATGGAACACTTCCATCCCGACGATAGCAAACGCGTAGTAGACCACCTAGGGTGAGCAGCACACAGTCAGTGGACACAAGGAGTGAGCGGCAGAATCAGGGCAGGGAGGGTGTGGGACACCTGGGAGCACTGTGGACACCAGTGAGCTCCGGGCAAGGGCCAGCAGGAAGGCTGGCTGCTCTCACTCAGGCATGGCTGCCCCCCCCACCCAGGGCCCCCACCGAGGTCCGGTAAAGGTCAGCCACTCTGCGGGGAAGCCTGAGCTGTCCCTGGAGGAGGACATGGACTTGACCTCGCCCCTGGACTCCTAGTACAAAGTCAAAAATGAAGCAGCTGGCAAGTTAGTGGGTTAAGTACTCAATTCCTCAGTAGAGGTAGTCCTCTAAGGAAAAAACAAATAGAGTTGGAGCTTAACCTTGTTATTTTTATACCAGAAGAAGTCCCAAAGGAACCACGGGGTTAAATATAAAAAATCAGAAAGTAACAAGGGGAAAAAAAAAAACCCAAGTAGAAAAAGGCCTCACTATGCATGATGTAAAACCTAGAAACCATAAAAGATTAATGAGTGTGACTACATAATTAATTGAAAATTTTATATAGTTAAAAAAAAACAGCAAAACAACCAAAAAATAAAAAAACAGCAACAGACAAGGAAAAATAATTATTCTCTATACAATTTTCCAAGACTTATTCCCATAACAAGCAAAGCACTCCTGCAAATCACATAAAAACAAGACAAATAAAAAGGACCAAGGATATAAACAGGCTGTTCGTGAAAAATAAGCATCGGTGGTCAAAAGAACACGGAAGACACTTGATCTCAGTGAGAGCAATGCAAGCCAAGCTCAGCGCCACTGCCCTCCCCTACCCCATCAGTTTGGGAAAACAAAAAATATTTTACAAATCCCATTTATGAGGGATGCAGATACTCCCACACAGTTGTTTGGAAACACAGGGAGCGCATGTTGGGAAGGCAATTGCCACGTGTGATCCCCATTATCAATGCACTTGCACTTAACCTAGAAACTCTGCTGCTGGGAATGCGCCTCATAGAGGCACAAGAGCTCGCGCACATACATGGGCCAGAGTCTCCAGCAGTCACTGGTGACACTGCCCACCGAGTGTCGGTAGAGCTGCCCAGCTATGGTCCGGAATCCCCCTCATGGGACACTTCCACGGACGGGTGTTTACACAGATGCACATGTGCTGAAGAACATCCAGCAAGACATCAGGTAGAATCAAGCTGTGCACAGATTGAATGGGTCAGACCATTCGATACACTTGCTGTCGGCACAGGAATATTGAGGCAGAATATCTGGAACTCCTTAGTAGTGGAAAAGAGGCATGGGAGGCGGGGGTGAGAATGGGTGACTTAGACTCTATCCTTCATTTTACTCTACCATATTTTTAAGATTATTTATTTATGCATACAGAACTGGGGTACAAGCCAGAGGTGCAGAGGTGGTGAAAGGATTCACCAGAGACAGAGGGGAGCAGCAGACAGGTCAGGAGAAGTCTGCCACGCCATGTGGGTCACCTCCAGGGACGGGGTGGAACTTGCACTCATGTGGCTGCAGCTCGCTTGCCGTGCTGTGTCCTTACCCATTGTGCCAACAGGAAGGGCCCTGACTCCACCACTTCAACAGAAAAATAGGTACTCTGTAGCAGAGCATCTACCCACATTTGAGCTCCTGCAGCCCTATAGAGTGGAAGCATCTCTGAGCAGGATGCCATGGCCCCACTGCAGCCTTTCTATGGCATCACCAACTAAACCCAGGTAGGCACTCTCTGAGCAGGACAAAAAGGATGTGGCTCTCAGGGCAAGTGAGGAGCAAAAAGGAACCTACATCCCTAAGAACCACATGCTAGCCAAGAACACCCCAACAGGCATCAGTCTCCCCCCTGAGGTATTAATGCCTGAACGGCAGTCAGAGCACTGCTATGGGGCATTGATAAAGTCCCAATGTTTCTAGAAACTTGGCATTTCCAAAAATAGCTAAAGGAAACCAGGGAATCTTATTTCCTTAACATTGCTTAAAGTAAGGCTTAATAAACATTGCTAAAAATTAGTATCTTACCATTTACGTCACTCAGAAGAGGAACAAGAGTAGCTACTCACCAAGATGAGCCCACCAAACGTCAACATTGTAGGGCCGATGTTAATCAAGGTAGTCACGATAATCCGGAATCTAGGAGAAAGCAGTTCCTGAGGCATGCCGGAAGGGGAGACCCGAGCCCTGAATGACCCACACCGGCAGGTCTCCCCCAACCCCTGCATCCAGGCCTGGATCATCTCTTTCAATGCTGTTGGGAATCTGAGTTAAAATTTCTCAGAATCATTCCATCTACCAAGCTGAGGGGGAGTTAACTTGTAGTTTTCCCTGATGCCAGTGTTTAAAAACCTAAGAAGTATCAACACAAACTTTACTAGTAAGACATGGATGCATGTTGAGGCTAAAAATTTAGCTAGCCTCATTTGCTTTCTTTCTCCACTTATTTTTTTTTCCTATCAAAATCCAAACTGCTTTATTTTCTTTAAAGATTTATTTATTTATGCATACAGAACTGGGGTGCAGGCCAAAGGTGCAGGGGCCGTGAGAGGATTCACCAGAGACAGAGTGGGGAGCAGAACAGGCCGACTGATGAGGTACACTGCTGAGGGGAGCAGCGGGCGGGTCAGGAGAGGTCTGCCAACCTGCATTAGCGCTGAGCTGGAGGCTTAGGTTGAGGAGGAGTGGGCCTGGGAGGGCAATATCTCCCCATGCTCCTTAAAAGGACCCTGAGCTATCAACAACAGGGTGGGGATTCTCCAGGCTTTGGGGTCAGACTCCTGGGTCTGTATCCTGGTTCTGCCTCTTTCAAGTTTTGCACTGTTCAGGAAGTTACCTAACCTCTCTGAGCTTCATTGCCATCACCTATGACCTAGGGATAATAAAAGCCCCTATGTCAAGGGTCTCAGGAAGGATTTAACAAGACAATGGTTAGCACACTCAGGTTAATATGGGTGAACCCTACTCTCTGCTTGCGAGTGACTGCATCACGATGAAAATGCCCCCAGAGAGCTGCTATTTGAGTGCTCTTCACCATCTTCCAGGGCTTCCCTCCAGCCCCAAGACCCCCAGAGACCCCCAGGCTCGACTATACAAGCAACATTCAGAGTTCACAGGAGGCATGTTTGCAGTTCTGAGAGAGGAGTGGTTTCTCCCAAACACTCATGTGAGAGACCACCCAAGCACAGCTGTTGCCCATCCTCTGCCTTCACCTCTGAATGCTGACGATGACCCTTAGGAGCCGGAGTATTCTCAATATCAAGACAATATCCAATATCTGCTGGCTGTTGTATTTTCTTGCTGGAAAAGAACACAATCATAGGGGAAAGATGTGCTTTACTTCAGGAGGATGGATCTGAGCAAAGAGAAAGTGAGTGCTGTCTGGAATCACTAACACACCCGCCACGACCCCCCCAACGACACCCCCCCCCCCCACACACACACACTCCCAGCTAATTGCAGCTAAGCCTGACAAGTGACCTAAGGAACCGTGAGTATGGGCGCAGACTTCAGATTGATGAAAGGTGTGGATCCAGCTCTCCAGAACACACTTCAACAAGCCCTCCACCACCACACCATTCATTTCACAGCTCTGTTAAGAAGCTGCATTCTCACTAGATAATGCCCTCTGCCTACGGGGATGAGAAGAAGCAGAGTGACTAGGGTGGATGTGCCCTGGGGAAGGAGTAAGAAGACAGTAGAAAGAAGAGGGGGGGAGGGGAACATGCAGAGCCTTGCTATGGCTGGAGCCTGGGTGGGAGCTGTGATGGGCAGAGGTCAAAGGCATGGAGGCCAGCCATGACACCATGGCCAGCTTTGCAGGACAATCAGGTGAGTACAAGAAATCCTCACTTGACTGGCCAAGAGGTCCTCAGAAACTGTGACTTTCAGCAAAGGTAGAAGAACAAGTGTAAATTGTTTCACTTGACTTCAGCCTGTTTTGTCTTCAATGTTATATAACAAAAGAACACTGAAAGAAAAACTGTACTCAAGAGCTGCCATATTGGGCAGGACAGACAAGGCAGAGGGACGGACAGACGGAAGGACAGACGAGGCAGAGGGAATCTCCAACAGACAACTGAACACAGACAAAGCTACCATCCCGCTCCAGGAGATGGTAATTACTAATTCTCTTGCATCCTTGCAGCCTGGCCCCAAACACCTAGTGGGATACGGGGCTCAAGAGAGACTGAGCACACAGTCCCGGGGGGTGGAGAAGCCACGGCTGAGCACTGACCTGACTGGATGGTGGCGGTGGCCACAGTCGCCAGCAGCGCTGCAATGATGATCAGTGTGTCGAACCTAACAGTGCAGAAGCAAAGTCGTGCAGAGTCAGAGAGAAGTCTGTCGAGCTCAGGCTACAGTGGATTCCGAGAAAACCTCGAATCCACCGTCTTCTGTAAAGCAATGATTCACTCACACATCTGAAGTTCATAATTATTAGGTGATCAGATATGAAACAAGAAATACTATGTCTCATCAAGCCAATGGCCATTCTCTGGGAGGCCACTGGCACACAGGGAGATGTAACAATTAGCTAAATCCTATCAGTTTAATTGTCTTGCAAATTAACTATATACATGTGAGAAGTCTGGTACATTTTCAGAAAACATAATCTTTCTTGGTGTCAATTTTTTGAAACGTATCTCCACTTTTTACTTAAAGAGGAAATTCATCACGGGGTTACTTTTCAGATTCAATACCAAAGCCGTGGGCAACACTGACCAGCTCCCCCTTGATCACATGCACATCCTAATGAGTTCCTGGAAGTGAGAGTGGATCTCACAGAGCTCCTGCCTACCTCGCTCTGCCCCTCCCAGGCCAGGCCTGTCCAGTGCCTGATGCCCCACAAGGCCCAACACGTGATTTGGAGATGGACGGCTGGCTTGCAGCCTGCAGGTGAGGCCGAGAGGGCAGAGACCTGGGCAAGCAGTGAAATAGGCAGACACATTCAGCAGGAGAGAGGCCTGCTACAGTCCTCGTCATCCAGCCACACGGGCCAAAACACATGCTCACCAGTTCCAGAACTGCTTCTTTCCAAAATAGGTTCTGGGTTCGTACGTATACAGTTTCAGGAGAATCTCTATGATATAGAGAACAAGGAAGACCCATTCTGCATAGGAAATGAAGGGGTTTTTCTCATCCAGAGCGATGAAGATGGCATTTAGAAGAATGACGACATCATAAACCCATACAAAAAGTCTGCAAGAGGAGATGAAGAAGCGACCCCGTCATCAAGTGTTTCGAAAAGAACACATTCAAAACCTTACCTTGTGATGTGGCTTCCCAGCATGTGATGACTGTACCCCGCACCCCAGAAAGCACACCTAGTCTGGGGTCCTTGACTAGCTCTAGGAAGCATGGCAGAAGGAAGCCTAATCTAAAAGCCTGTCCTTTTCTAAGGTTGGACATGGTGTATTCACAGCTTTTCCCAGGCTTCCTTGGGAAACCAAGAGCAGTGAGCAGGGAACTGACTGATGGCTTCACTGATGAAACACATTCAGTCTAGACCAGATTCCTCTGCTTTTAAGACTACTTCAGAGAAAATGTCCCGTTCTCACGTGCCTGTGCCGAACCATCTTCTGGACCAGGAGGCTTGCAGGCGACTGGTACACCCGTGGCATCCAGGTTTCCAGGGGGTGTCTCCTGATGTTGATGGTGACCACCTGGATGTTGAGGAGGTCAGCCAACTGTAGAAAACTAATTTTGTCTGCAATGGAAAAGTAACTTCAACACACATGGCCAATACAATACTGAAGCCAAAGGAAAAAGCCAGATCAGCATGGATCCTTGTTTCTGCATTTCACAGGTGAAGACCTGAAGTCTCAAAGGGTGAAGACCCAAGGCCAAGGAGCCAGCGAGTGGCTGCTTCCCACCTGTCCTCACGCAGACCTCAGCCAGCCCAAACATGATTTTGCTACTTTTCAGATGCCACTGCCTCACTTCCTGCCATTTGTACATCGCTCTCAGCGTTTCCAAAATTTAAGAAATTACCTTGGGGGAGAGCAGGAGGTCGAGGACAGACAGGGCCCACAGCTGCCCAGGGCCCACCCTGGAGGAGCCCTGCCTAGAGGAGAAGGGTCCCCTTCGAGTGTCCACTCATAAGAACCAGGGCGGTGGGGCTGGCCCTATGCGTCCAGATATTCCCAAGCTTCATCCCCTCTGTTTTTGAGAATTCTCCTTTGAATTCTGGTCTTCACTTCTCCTCACAAGGAATACCACTACTTTCTTTCTTGGCCTTTGTAGGTAGGCAGATCTTTTGCACAAAGATCTGCATGGGCACTTTCTAGAAAGTGATGCAGTAGCACCGAAAAACACCTCCTCCTGGCTCACACCATTCACGGGACAGAACACCTGAGCAAGCCATGCCAGGGAAAGTGTGTTGGTGTGCTCCATGTTTGTCCTGCACAGTGGAACAGTAAGCTAAGAGCCACCTTATTTGTCAGTCCAGAACCTGTCCATCCCAGAAGCCATCACAACGAGAAAAGCGCTTCATTGCCAGTGTTGGGAAACAGCTATCAACAGACTGACTGCTGACCGTAAGCTAAGAAATGTTGCTTTGTGTATCTCTTTTCTGGGTGAGTAGAAGGTACCCAAGTCTTTCACCAATACCTCACTACCTCTGACAGTGGCTCCCAAAAGGCCCCATTCTGTGTTTGGAATACCTCACCTTTTTAGAGCAACCCAGGAATCTGCTTGACAGAAGGAATAGCAAAGGAAGTTTGTAAAGCCCTAAAGATTCACCCACACGTTCAGAGTCCCAGTCACCTAGAAATAACAAAGGTGGCAAATCATCAAAGAAGAAGTCTCAAAAACAGAGGGGATGAAGCTCAGGAATATCTGGACTGATGGCCAGCCACACCACCCTGGTTCTTACGAGTGGACGGTAGACTGGGACCCTTCTCCTCTAGGCAGGGCTCCTCCCAGGGTGGGCCCTGGGCAGCTGTGGGCCCTTTTCTCAGCCCCCTGCTCTTCCTAAGATAAGTTCTTGAAATTTAGAAACTCTGAGAGCAATGCACAGAATCATTTCAGTTACATTGAATCTGGTTTGAAAAATTGGGACTTGGATTTTTATATGCCTTTTTTATTTCATTTCATTTTTTTTTATACCAAAGTATTGAGGCCAAAAGTGAAAAAGCTTAGCCCCATACACAGATTGAGAGGCCCCATGCTCAGCATTGTCCCGTGAAGCCTGTTGGCCTTCTCTCACCTGAAGCAGAGCCCAGCCCTGGCACACCACATGGCATAGCCCTGCGGTGCCCAGGGGAAGGACCAAGGCACTCTGTTCAAGTCTGAGAAGCCTGAGAAGCCTGGCCTTCCGAGCGGACAGCGGGACCATGACACCAGGCTGGCCGCTGAGGAGACAAAGGCTCCCTATCAGGGCCTGTTATCCTGCAGCTTCTGGCAAAGGCCTCCATCTTGGATCCAGCATCACTAAGGATACTGGCGTCATCCATTTAATGCTGTCTGTCTTGTCATACATTTCTCTTTGTGGGTTTGACTTCTCCCACAAATTGCAGAAAACCATTACCGTTTCCTTCCTTCTTAATGGAGTCTTAATTAAACCTATGGGTCTAGAGGACTAATTTAGAGTCCTCGTCCCATCTGAATTTACAATTATAATCTTGCTGTCCTATAAGACCTTCTAATTTCCAATAGTTATTTGTTTGCTCCAGTCCATGGCCTCGATGTCTGGAGCCCATCTCAGCAGCTCAGGGGGCGGGCAGGACCCCACCCTGGATCGGACACCCTTCACCACAGAGCACATCACATGCACCCATGCTGACTCAGACCAGGAGACAGAGCCACACAATTGGGGTGTGGGAGGGAAACAGAGCACCCAGGGGAGCTCCGCACAGACACAGGGGTTGTGCGATCTGCACACAGGCAGTGGCCGTGGCTGCAAGTCCATTTTTCCTCTCCTCAAGTTTCCCATGAGCTGACATTAAAGAAAACAAACTTATTTGACTATCTACTGGCTGCTGGTTGACCCATTCCTTTAGCTGCCCCTCCTTACCCCTGCCACCCACAATGGTGAGAGCCTGGGGGAGAGGAAGGCCAGAGGCCAAGGCGTCTTACCCACGAGCCCCTTCTGTTCCTCATCACAAATCCTCAGAAGGAGCTCCAGGTGGGAACTGCTGATGTCTGGTGCCACGACCTTGACCAGCTGCTTCCACTGGGCCTCCTTTACCACAAACTCCGTTCCCACCTTGACTTTCAGAATGTTGAAAGCCGCTACCATCTTGTGACGTTTCAGGTATGCCAGTTTGCGAATCTCGTTCTTTATAAAACAGAATTGTGTTTTTTAAGAGAAAGATTCCCAAATGCCTCATTTCTTTAAACATTTCAAAGTCATTGGCGAGCCAAAGAGAAATCACCGATGGGTCTGCTAAGCAACAAGGTATGGAATCCCTGCCCAGCTCCAGGTAAGTGTAGCTGATCCCTGTCTGCAGAAACAGACCTCATCTTACCGAGTTTAAATGCAGGAGACCAAGAAGCATAATCTATGTGGAGAGCAGCAGGAGGCAGCAGGTCCAAACTCCACTCTGCCCAGGAGGAAGGGAGATTCCAGAAAGGAAGGAAATGGGCTTTGTTGCTGAGAGAGAGGAAGATAGAGGAAACAAAGACAGATAGTCCAGTGAGGTAAGGAGAAGGGAGCCGTGGACTGGGTAAGAGAAAGAAAAGTGGTGGAGAGAGACAAGGGCCAGAGCAGGGTGGACAGTGGAGCCTGCCTGGAGTTGCCACCTGCCCAGCCTCAGGGAATCCTCCAGAAGGGACAGCTTGAGCAGCAGTCCTCAGCTGGTCACCTGCTGGCACCCCTAGGCTCCACTTCCTATAGGCAGGTTACCCAACCAAGTGATGACCACCTGATTGATTACCCAGCTAGACAGTAAATCCTTAAGGGGCTAGGCTGTGTCTTAATCATCAACATGTGAATCATCTTTGACTCCACAGAAGTTTGTATAATGCAGGGCACATACAGCACATGTAAGATCTGCTTGCTGGCTGAAGCCTGGGGGTGGGAGACGCACACAATAGTCCTGTCCAGCAGTCAAGGGAGGACAGTCAGAAGTAGGAGGCTCCTTGAGAGGCCCTGCTTTGGGGTCAGGAGCAGCTGAGGGTCCCACTGTGCATGGGACAGGTCATACACCTTCGAAGCTAAATCATAACACACAGCCCCACCACCCACTTCCCCTTAGCGCAATTATTTGAGTTTTCTAAATTTGATTTGCCCCCCCATGGGAAAGTGCCTAAGGAATGAAAAAATCAAAACAGAATAGAAAGCCACAAGCTACTATTTCCTTAAGGAAAATCCATCTCTCTGTCTAACTAAATTTACAACATAAAAACAGTGCAGGTGGGGAGCAGTGGAGTAGTGGAGAAGCTGTTTGAGTTATCCCTGTGGATTCCAGGTTGTAAATAAAACATCACCTGCCCAAGTACTCAGAGGCTTCTGACCACCCAACACCTCCAGAAGTTCTGCAAAAACACAAATCAACAGGAAGATACCAGGGCAAAAAGTGTTGGCTTTAAGTTTCTGTTTCTGTTTGAGGAAAAGGATTAGGCAGCTTGGGAAATATCTTCAGGCCTCAATCATGCAGAAAACAAGGAGCCACGAGCAATTTGAGGAGTTAGAAGCCCAGACTTGCCATTGCCCACCTATTTGGACACTACCTCACCACCACTGGTGAGGGAAGACAGCAAGACACCAACTTAGTCTTCAGACTCGCCCAAGTGCAAAGAAAAAGGACCCTTTCCAATATTCGCAGAGGCACTGAACAACCTCCCTGCCACTGTGCCTGTCATAGAGCCTGTCCCCACCTGGATCCCTAACTCATGCAAGTTACCTTTAAGTGCTTCCGGTAATTGTTGTAGACCACAGCCAGAAAGACGGACATAAAGATGTAGGTGTTGATGATGATGTACGCAATAAAGTAGAGTGAATACCACCAGTTGAAGTTATAGGCAGGCATCCTGGAGGGAAAAAAATAATTTCATGGTTTTTCATACCCTCGGTATACATGAAAAGTTGACCTGAGGTGACACCCCACACTGACAAGCCACGTGCCACAGACACAGGAAAGCCCCGCACTCACTCTCCATGTGAAGGGATCTCAAGTGGTTGCCATCCCTAATGCTATACAGCCTGCTCCGAACTTTCTGAAATTCCTAGTGCTTTATAGAGCTGCCAAGCTTCAAAGCATGTAGGACCTTGGAGATACCCATCCCTTCACCCACTTCACAATGAGAAAGAAAATGAAGGTCCAGAAAGGAGAGCAAATTTCCCAGGACAGGTGGAGTCTGAAGAGGGGCTTGAGTTTATACCCACAGTTCTGAAGGGACATCAAGCTGCCTTGCTGGGGGAGCCAGAGAATTTTCGAACTGTTAATCATCCCACTGGCTGGCCCTCCCTGGTGTCGCAGCGGGTTAAAGCACAGCACTAAAAAGCTAAAGCCACTACCGCATGAGTTCGATCCTGCCCCGGAGGTGACCACATGGCACTGCAGACCTCTCCTGGCCCGCCCGCTGCCCCCCTCAGCAGTGTGCTTCGTCAGTCAACCTGTTCTACTCCCCACTCTGTCTCTGGTGAAGCCTCTCACCGCCCCTGCACTTCTGTCTTGTACCCCAGTTCTGTATGCACAAATAAATAAATCTTTTAAAAAAAAAAGGCGCCTTTGACAGAAATTGGTTTTCATCCAGGAGGGGATGCTGGAGCTGCGGGCATGGTTCACCTCCCTTACGTTTTGCCAGAGTGAGCAACAGCCAAGAGCAGGTTGATGTGAGGATCACACAAGGAACCAATGACAGGAAAACAGCCCCTTGCCCAAAGCGCAGCACTGGATGAGATGGGATTGACATTTGCTAGACATTTGTGAGTGTTCTGTGTTCACCAGAGACCTAAAGAGCTCTCTACTCAGCATAGCACTGGTTAGTAGTTCACCTCCATGAACAAGATAAATCCATAACACCAAGGGAAAGAGCCATTAGGAAAAAAAAAAAAACCTATGATAATTTCCTTCTAAGTTAGCATGCATGTCTGGAGGACATTGTGTGTGTGTGTTTTGGGGAGGAAGGGCGGGGGGTGGGGTGACAACAAGTAATCTTTACATTTCTTGCCTGTTTTATTTAGCCAGAAATCCTCATCAGTGCTCAGGAGAAAAAGCCAGGATTCCTGTACTAAGAGGGCTTAGGTTTTTAATAAAACTCAAAGAAAATCCAAAATAGAAAGTAGGCTCCAGTATTTCAAAGTTTATCTCTAAATATGTATGCTGTTACTTTCAGTGTTTTAAAAATCCACCAAAACTGAGTTTTAAACAGAGGGGGTTGGCCATCATGAGTGCATGTGCAGTATTCAAATTTTTGCAACAAACCTAAACAAGCAGGATACATCACTACATTTCCTCTCCGCCTTGCTAGTGTTAGGAGGCAACTGTTCTTAGCAAGCTGAATTGTTATGGAACCGTGTTTACAAATTGGTTGACCCACGTACATGACATCAGGGCTGTTTGCAGTGGTGACCAGCACATAGAGGTCAAAAGCTATCTCTAGGATGTTGGTGAAGTAGGGTGATCCATCCACTGTTTTAAGGCCCCTAAGGATGAATCAAAAACAGAGTGAAAACCCCACACACAAAAATGAAATTGCAGTTGCCAACACTCTTTTCCCCTTTCAAGAACATTCCCGGATTGTTTGAACATCAGACAGCATCTGATGAGAGACTGTGCCACCAACATAAAAGAATTCACAGGTAGAAACTTCCAGAACAGCATGCTCACCTGTCCCCAAAGAGCTTTAAAGCCATAAGGGAGAATATCAGCACACTGAATATAAACAAGAGAAAAACATAGAGGATGTCTGGCAGAGTGTTCCGGATGCTTCGAAAAGCCCTTCGGATCTGGGGAGACAAAATTTAATTTTGTCTTCAAGAAATCAGCTTGGATTTTCTGCAAAAGCCAAAAGCAAGTTCTCATGTATCTTGATCATCTCCTTACCTGACGACTTTCAGGGAAGTTGATTAGGAACACTGGCCTTAAGACCCTTGACCACCGAACGCTGTGGATCTTGACAGCTTCCAGGGACCCGTAGATAATGAGGTCAATCAAGGTCAGCTATGAGATAGTGGGCCGAAATGTCAGCTTCAGCCGGGGACCCCCTCCTCACCAAGTGGTGGAAACTGACAACAGATGGCTCAAAGGAAAAGAGTATCAAGCAGGAAGGTGTGGAGGTGTGGAGACGGAGCCTCCGTGACTTCGAAGGACCCTGGTTCGGGCACGTTGGCTGCTTGCCAACATGCTCATCTTGAGGCACTCTTAGCTACTGTCCATTATAGCAGTTTCAGAGTACATCACCCTGCCTCACTGGGCATAACTGTTTAGTATATATATACCTCCAGATTTTTCTCTGAATGTGTAACCCATTTTTCCCTTTTTTAATTTTTAACAACTTTCCTATAAACTGTTCCTTTGCCTTACAAATTATCTCCCTGATAATAAACACAGATGTGCCTTTAATGCTATTTTCAAGGGCTGCCTGGATGGGCTACCTTTTCTTTAACACACCCCTAACTGTCAGAAAATCCATTGTGGCTAATCTTTTCAACATTATGAACAGCTCAGCCATGGCTAATCTGTGTTAAAATCTTTGAACACATTTTTCTTTCCTAGTGAAAATTCCCAGGGGTGGAGTCTAGGATGCTAACGTGTACATGCAGGTTACTTCTAACTGCCAAACTGCCTTCCAGAACACAACTCATGTCTGTGGGGCAGAAACTGTTTTTTCTCGATCTCACTAACACTGTTTTATAGGTAAACACATGCCCCTTGTCGTTGCTTTAGTTGCTGTTTCTTAATTAGCAGTGAAACTTTTTTTAAACGTGCACCATTATTATTTTAAGATATTCAAATTGCTGCATTTTGTTTGTTCTTCAGCTGTGGTTTGCTTGGAGCTGTGCTGATGGTGCTTGTATCCAAATCTGTCAGTGTTGCTGCAACCATGTAAGTCTATGGGGTCCTCTTTCTGCAGTGTCTGCTTTGACCACAAATTCTTAATGGCACTAGAATGAACACTCACCACTATGGTTACCATGATGCAGATGTTTTTTGTATCCTTCCAGAAAACCATCTGCGGAGTGACTTTTGCAAAATGCAGGAGTCTCCCAAAAAATGCAGCCAGACAGAGCACTTCTGCTAGTGAGGTAGCCTGCAGGCAGAACACAGAGACTAAGCACAGTGCCTGGCCATGGAGCTTTGGTTCTCCTCTAACTCCCTGAATACCACCATTAAGAATTAGCGATGTTGGGCCCTCCCTGGTGGCGCAGTGGGTTAAAGCACTGCACTGAGAAACTAAAGCCACTTCCGCATGAGTTCGATCCCCGCCTGCCCCGGAGGTGACCACATGGTGTGGCAGACCTCTGCTGACCCGCCCGCTGCTCCCCTCAGCAGTGTACTTCATCGATCTGCCTGTTCTGCTCCCTGCTCTGTCTCTGGTGAATCCTCTCACCCTCCGCATCTCTGGCCTGTACCCCAGCTCTGTACAAATAAATAAATAAATCTTTAAAAAAAAAAAAAAAAGAATTAGCGATGCCCCTTAATTTTACTGCAGGTTGCAGCAAAATTCTTTGCTGGTTGGAATGGTTTCTTCCTCTAAAAAGGAAGCCTGCCCGGAAGCCACACATCCCATAAGCAAAACTGGCAGGGCTTCCTGGGAAGGGCTGAGTCAGCAGACAGAAGACCCAAAATACACTTCCCCAGGAAAAGGGAGAGCAGAAGCAGGCATGTCTATGCTCTCAAGCTCCCCATGTTCACGTTCAGAATAGAAGTTCAGTTTCTCCAGTGGTAGAATAAATCCACAAAGATGTATTTCAACGTGGTGGGTCACTCCTTAGGCATCATGGTCGACAAGCTATCTGTTAAAGGCCCGGAGAGTAAACACTGTGGGCTTTGCAAGTCATTCCTTCCTCTCGCATCTACTGTCAGAAGCAAGAGCAGTGTTTAGTCAGTAATTAGCATGAGCATTCTGTAGTAGCTGGCTAGTTTATGTATTACTCAGAATGACTTGTGATCAGCTACTGAGCACCAACAAAGACTCTAAACAACTCTGACTACGATAAAGCTAAAAATGTGACAAGTCTAGCACTGTATTACCGGATTATCTATTTGCCATTAAATCAATGTGCTTTCAAAGCCTTCTTTAAATATCCTATTTGATCCTGTGCAAAGACCAAGACTTTCACTTAAAGTCAGCAGGCACAATTCTTCCAACCCTCAGTAATAAAAATAAAATCAAATTCACATTTATTGAAATTTGAGGCACAGTACCAAATCATCCATAGCCACCTCCAGTTAGCCATTCAGGTTGTAATGCTTACCAAGAAAGGCAGTGGAAACAATGCGGGCTCCTCAAACAGGGCGAGGGAAAGATCGACACAGATGAAGAAGTATGTGGTGGCTCGCATTGCCCAGTGGTTATAAAAATAGTAAAGTCTGAAGAGGAAAAACATGAAGTAATTACAAATGAAGAATAGGAGTTAAATAGCTATCAGATTTCCCAGTAGAAGAGCAGTGGCGAGCCCTCCCTGGCTGCTCAAGGGGTTAATGAGCAGCACTATGAAGCTATCCACAGCCACTGCAGCACAAGTTTGATCACCGACCAGGGAGGTGACCCACATGATGCAGCAGACCTCTCCTGACCTGCCTGCTGCTCCCCTCAGCCGTGTATTTCAGTAGATCTGCCTGCTCTGCTCCCCACTCTGTTTCTGCTACACCTTTAGCATATACTCCATTTATTGTATGCATAAATAAATAAAATAAATATTTAAAAAGAAAGAAGAGCAATGACAGGTAATATACAGTTACAGTTGTGACCACACTTCCTTTACATTCTGAGGAGCAAGGGGCAGGATCAGAATAAGCCATACTACAGAACACTCATAGAAAAAAAAACAAACCCAAGGCTATGATCATATCCCAAAATACATTCTCTCAGTAGTGTTTAACAGTCACAAGGTAGGACTAGAACATTCCTTACTGGGTGGGTGTGAGAATAAGAGGATGCTTTGGAGCACCTAAACAGAGTGAACCCCCACTTTAAGTGCCCTGCTAGTATGTGCAATGGCAGCCTGACCTGTCTGCAAATGTGCATCCTCCTATCTCGCCATGGTAGACTTGGAGGATCTTGGGGCCCTGTGATTCACTTCCTGGTGGGAGAGGACAGGGCAGGGCCCCCAATCTGCTCAGCAGGATGCAGGGATAAGGCATGTGCAGCTTTGGGAGGAACTAAAGCTCCACCCTGATCATGCTTTTCCCTTATTCTGAGCCAAACCCTTGGTCTCAGTTCCACCCTCAGGGGGTGAGAGAGAAAAATCTGAATTCTCATGAAGAGATCAAATGTACGATCCATGCCAACAAGGCACAGAAAGAGAAAGAACAAGTGTTCTTTTCACTTCGGCAACTCTAAGAGGACATCTGTGTCTAAGAAGAAAAGACAGTGACATGTTTTAGCTTGATGCCGAGTTCCTGTCCCTGATGGTGTTTATTTACTCATTATCTGTCCTCAAGATATTTAGTGAATGCTCCCCTGAGTGTGAAACACCATGCTCTTACAATTTAACCAGAAATGCATTGGATTTTATCCAAATCTATGAGCCATCCCCAAGATAGCTCTCAACGAATTTGTAGAAACAATGTCTTGGGTTTGAGTTCAACTTCGAGAACATGAAATGCTGAGAACAGGTAGTTCTTCAAGACAGTTCCACACTCTCCTTACCTGATGGCCTGAGGAGATGTTTCAAATGGAACATTTCTGTTGTACTGGGCATCGGAAACATAGGCTGCCGCCAGGAGAAGGTCCTGTCCCATTGGGAGAAAGGAAGTGAAGACAAAGTCAGAGCAAGGAAGGGCATTTTCTTTGAGATTTGTAAAGATGTCTCAAGTGTATGGAAACTCCCTTTCACTCCTCCCCAACCTCACTCTGAAGTAATCAATAGGAGGAGGCCAGATGGAGGATCCAGAAGCTCTCCTGGGCAGAAAGGCTCCTGCCGTGGAGACCAGCTGTGCCACACTAAACTGTCCTTATTCAAATACAAGCTCTTGGACAGGAATGAACAGGAAAGCACCAACTAGTATATATGCGTGTAATTAACAGTGTCCATCCATCCATATTTTGGACTATATACATATAAACACACACAGACAAAACTGTATATGGGCTACTTGAAGGGAAGTGAGAAGGATCTTAAAGGATTATTTCAACAACTAAATGATTTTCTTTCTTGGTCAGAACAAAAGTTTTGAGCCTATCTCCTCCTCAAAGTATGACCCTGCTCTGTACATACACGTATTTTAAAATAATGAAATTGCTTTCATATAATTCAAAGCTTACTTTTTTCACTCAATATGTGTCTGGTTTTCCCCCCCCCCCCAATAATAGTGTGTATATAGAGAGTCACTCAACCTTTTTTTTTAACAAAATCACCTTCAGTTAGTTTTCTTTCCTTCCATTTTAAATACATTGAATATTTTTAAATAAGTTACACACATAGATGTGTGCCATAAGAGCATTTTAGTACAGAGTATAACTTGTAGGCGAAAGATATGTACATTTTCTATTTTGATAGGTGCTACCAAATTGCCTTTCCAAACTTTATTTTATATGCCTCAAAAATAATACATGAGCATATATGTTTTTTTCCCTTCTCACCAACATTAATACAATTTTAAATGGTTGATAATATCCTATCAACTAGAGGAGCAGCCTGTGATTTTAGGTAACAGCAGAAGGAAAAACAACCCAACCATCCAAGTTACCTACTCAAAACAGAGGACATCTTCCTGCCTGGATAGGGATGGAAATCTATTAGTTAATTAAGCAAGTCAATTTTGGAAATGCAAAAAGTATTCCAAGAAATCAAAAGATTTCAAATTTTATATTTAATTTTCACATCAAACATCCATGTAGAAATATTCTCTAAATTTATTTCCTATATCACATGACACATTCACTTATTCATACTGCAGCTGTACTACATTAAAAACACAGTCCTAGTTTAAAAGTCCTTTTAATGTTTTACCAAAGTAGATATATAGATTGCAAATAAATACATAAAAGGATGCTCAATATCATTGGTCATTAGGGAAGTGAAAATTTAAATCATAATGAGACACTACTACATATCTAACTAATGACCAACCAACAAGTGTTGGCAAGGATGTCCAAAACCAAAGAAAGTCAACATATAAAAAAATAACTACAGACCAATTTTCCTAATGAATATAGATACAAAGAAATGGAAAGATATTCCTACTCACAGAGTAGAATAATTAAATATTGTCAAAATGGCCATCCTGACCAAAGCAATATACACATTCATTGCAATCCCTATCTGAGTTTTAATGGCATTCTTACCACTGAACTTCATATGGAATAATAAAAGGCCCTGAATAACCAAAGAATTCTTACCAAAAAAGAGGAAAAATGAGGGCATTGCACTTCCAAACTTAAAATATACTACAAAGCTATAAGAATCAAATAGGATGGTACTAGAACAAAAACAGACACACAAACCAATGGAATAGAATTAAGAGTCCAGAAATAAGCTTACATTTATATGGTCAGTTAATCTATGATCAAAGTGCCAAGAATATAAAATGGAGCAAGGAAATATTATTTAATAAATGGTGTTGGGAAAATTTGACAGTCACATGCAAGAGAATGAAACTAGGCCACTGTCTCATACTATACACAAAGATAAACTCAAAATTGACAAAAGACTTAGATGAAAGACCTGGAACCATTAAATATATAAAAGAAAATGTAGACAAAACACTCCATGAGAGGCTACAGAGATGTCTTTGGGGATTTTTCTCCAGCATCAAGGAAAACAAGAGAGACTACAAACAACTGGGACTACTACATAAGCTTCTGCACAGCAAAATAAACCACCACTAAAAGAGGAAGAAACCCCAATGAATGGGAGAAAATATTTATGCTTTATATATATGACAAGGGGCTGCTATCCACGATCTGCAAAGCACTCACACAACTTGATAAAGAGAAAACAACCTAATCAGAAGAGGGCAGAAGAGTCAAAGAGTAACTTCTCCAAAAAAGACATATAGATGGCCAACAGGCATATGAAACAAAATGCTCACCATCAGTTATCATCAGGGAAATGCAAGTCAAGAGCACAATCGGTTATGACCAGGGAAACACAAGCCAAGACCAAAACCTATAAATGCTGGTGATATTGTGGAGAAAAAGAGTTCTCATATATGTTACTGGTAAGCTTCTTTGCTCAGCTTGTACACAAAATCAAATGCAAAACCCCTAGTTTAGCATTAGGGGGTGCCGCAATTGGCCTCCCATCTCAACCTTTATCTCCCTTCCACTATAGGCGCCCTCCTCTCTGCTGGCCTCGTTATCCACACTCCAACACCAGTCCTACTCTGTGCCTGAACTCATAATTCCCTAAAGCCAAGAGTAACCCTTCCATTTTCCTTCATACTGTCCCTCCTCAGATTTCACTTTCTCCATGAAGACTGGCAATTTCCATTTCTATATGGAAAGACTGCAGGGACAGCTGAGTTGTGAAGTATATCTTGCACAGTCTAAAGAAAGAGACAGCTTCCACAGGTCAGTTGAAGGCATTGCAGTCGTGGCAAGAAGAATGCGCGGGGATAACTCAGAGTCAGCATAAACACTGCCTGTCCCTCCATGCAAAATGACCAACGACCTGCAAGCCAGGACAGCAAAGACATGTTTTGCTTGGCCCAGAGAATACTTCATGGATACTGGCTGCAAGTTCAAATTTTTTTTAAAACTGGAGCTTACACAAAAATTTGAACTTCTGGTTTCTCTTTAAAGACCATAACATCTGGTACTTTTATTTTTATTTCAGTTAGTTTTCGTACCCACCCAGCTACTTAGTCACCTGAACAAATATTTGTTGTTTTCCAAATTCTGTGGGTCAGCCAGCTGTTCTTCTAGGCTGGGCCAACATGGCTGCTCTCTACAAATCACTCACATGTCTCAGCCAGTGCCTCACACAGCAGGCTAGTCTGGCTCTTTCACAAGCCACAGGGCTCCAAGATCATCCGAGAGTAAGCCCCCATGTCCAGGTATTCAGCACACCTCTGACTGTGTCCCATCTGCTACCATCTCATTGGCCAAAGCAAGTCTCATGGTCAGTAGTCTCAAGGGCTGGAAAAATCAACTCCATCTCCTGAGGCAGGCATGGGAAGAGTTGGTGGGTATGTTTGCAATCTATGATAGATAGCTGTGTGGCCTCAACCAATTGTAGGTGGACAGCTGTGCTCTTCTTAGGGCAGGGGACATGGCCTCTTGGTCACCATACGCACCAGTCCTCTCACCAACTGAATCTTTCCTCTGGTTTCATCTTATTTGATGTCCCCTTTGGGTACTTCAGTTTGTGACTACTTGTAAATAACACTGTTCAAGACCTACCGGTTAATGAATTTTCCTCTTGCAAGGAA